GGAATGTACAACTATGCATTAGCATAGAGGACATCGGGTGCCTCGAGCAGATCTTCCTTCACGACCGAGTCGTTGCTAGAACGCGGATAATCGCACGTGGATTACGAACATTGCTGACTTCACTTCAAAATATTCCAACTGCGCGATCGCAAGATCTTTGTTTCGCAAGAAGCTTCAACAGGCAGCTGATCATTAATGATCGGAAAAATTATTCGCAGTGTCATATTAACTCTGGATAATTCTATATATTCTTGTGTCTTGCGTGTAATGTGTGGATTAGGAATTCATTTTTAATGCAACTTTAATTAGGACATTTCTTGATATTTTATATACAGGGTTTTGTCCCACAGAAAATTGCTGAAATCATTTATTTGATCCAAATTTTAGGCCCCGATTTACGTATCATTACGTTATAACGATAAAACTTTGGTGTTCTCAGTAACTGCGTGCATTAAAAAATGACAGCTGATTAATTTCAAAAATTTCCTCTGGAACATCTTGTATGACAGATGAAGAGAAGCTAAAGGATCTTAGGAGCGAAATTCCCAGATTCGTCATCGAGTCCGCGATTGCGTCACACTTTGCCCTTTAGACAGGTGGTTTTCGCACGCGATCATGGTCCCTCCAGCCAAGATTATTCGCGCAACCGTGTAAAACGGCTTTAATGGGAGTGTTTCCTGATCCCGGAACGAGTAACGAGACTCGTATACACGTATAGTAAAGGGTTCGTGGGAAGACGAACGTCGAGGCTGGCTTCGCTCGAGGGTACATACTCGCGCAACCGACACAAATGCATACAAGAACACTCCCACATTTGCACACACACATCCATACATGCATATATATATATATATCGCGTTGCATTCGGAGAGCTGCAGTCCCGTGCATAGCAGAAGGCAGCGGAGTAATAGATGTCAGGGCCAAATCTTTGAGTTCCCCTACAGTGTCAATTAGGCAAAATGACGGGCGATCAAGCGCGATTAACCGCGAGTCTCGCAGCTTTTTCTGTCAAATCTTGCTGGATCTTATTTTTCGTATTTGGCGATTTTATAGAATTATCTCTACATTTTTTGGAGTGGGATCTCAGTCCAAAAGAATGGAATTTCAGTCCAAAAGAGGAAGATTCCACTCTTGGGGAATCTTTTGGAATGATATGACGTTTCTTTGATGAATATTCTATCAAATAATAATCTCTCTAAATTGTATTCACTCTAAAAGAGTGGAATTTTATTCCAAAAGTGAGATTCCACTTTTTGGAATGAGATTCTACTGTTTTGGTTGAGATTCCACTCCAAGAAATTTAGAGAAATTATTATTTGATAGAATATTCATCAAAGAAACGTCATATAATTCCAAAAATTCCAAAAGATTGGAATCTTACTCTTTTAGAGTAAAATTCCACTCTTTTGGAATAAGATTGTATTGTTTTGCTTGAGATTCCACTCCAAGAAATTTAGACAGATTATTATTTGATAGAATATTCATCAAAGAAGCGTCATATAATTCCAAAAAATTCCAACTCTTTTAGAGTAAAATTCCACTCTTTTGGAATGAGATTGATTTTGCTTGAGATTCCACTCCAAGAAATTTAGAGAGATTATTATTGATAGAATATTCATAGAAGAATTTTAGAGTCATTGTATGAGATTCCACTCCAAGAAATTTCTATTTGATAGAATATTCATCAAAGGAAAAAATTACTCTTTTAGAGTAAAATTCCACTCTTTTGGAATGAGATTGTATTGTTTTGCTTGAGATTCCACTCCAAGAAATTTAGAGAGATTATTATTTGATAGAATATTCATCAAAGAAACGTCATATAATTCCAAAAAATTCCAAAAGAACTCTTTTAGAGTAAAATTCCACTCTTTTGGAATGAGATTCTACTGTTTTGGTTGAGATTCCACTCCAAGATATTTAGAGAGATTATTATTTGATAGAATATTCATCAAAAAAACGTCATATAATTCCAAAAGAGTGAAATTTCACTCTTTTGGAGTAAAATTCCACTCTTTTGGAATAAGATTCTACTGTTTTGGTTGAGATTCCACTCCAAGAAATTTAGAGAGATTATTTATAGAATATTCATCAAAGGACCATCATATATAATTTTATTATATATATATATCAGAGACGTATATATATATATATATATATATATATATTGCTTTTGGCTTAGTTAGAACTTTGCGTCCTATGGATCTCAAAGGGTTAAAGGGTTCATTTAAAGACGACGTCGAGACGCTACGTGATTCGCCTACGAGAAGCCGGGAAAACCGGGATCCAACATCGCCGTGTCTTCTACAGTCGAACGACCATATAGACTCCTGGAAAGAAGGGAGAAGAAGGCTGATTCCTTCTTTCTCTCCTTCTTGTACCGCGATTTCCGCTCCCAGGTGCACACTTATTAACGCTGAGGAGATCGCCGCCATTCATTAATTTCCTTCGCCCGACTCGGTAGCTGGTGGAAGAAGAGAGGCCTCTCCGTGGAGAACCCTCCCCCTTTCTTCCCCCCCCCTCTCTCTATCCCTCCCCCGCGTAGCTCAAGGGGGTCCGCTGGTCCGTACAGCACTGGGGCCCCTCGACAACTCGAGGTTAAGGAAAGGAAAAGGAAAGGGGAGACCTTAAGGCGATTTCACACGACTCGCTTCCAGACGATCGAAGAGCGAACGAGCTAGTCGAAGATTTATTAGTTAGATGTGGAATTGCGAAATTTACAAGTCTCTCGATATTTTACACCGTTAAGATCGCGCTAGTCTTTATATAGCATAGCATAAATTCCTTTTCTTTGCCTATAATAGAGATTACATTTATAGTACATAATTAAAAATATTATATTAATTATTTTTATTATTTATAAGAGAAACAAAAATTTATCTACCTTTATGTTACATAAAGACAGATAATAAATTTAAAAAAAATTGCTGTTATTATTTTATAAATAATATAATATAAAATAATATAATATTTCTTAAGGGTTTTAAACCTTATCACGTTTTACAGGGGTTTAATTATTTAATATATTTTTGGTAAAAGAAGAACGCGAGAGAACTCGACTTAGATATATTCTGATAAGAAGAGAGAGCTTTTTTATACAGCATGATTAATAGATTGCATATATTCCTATTAATAATTGCTTTGTATGTTAATTGATCCTTGATCAGAGTTTTAATATCCGGAGATTTAAATGCCCGCGCAAGCATTGTCGCAGGTAAATTACTGCAATTACGCTTCTCAAATAATGCAAAATAATGAGCGGCACGCCCATCAATTTTCATAATTATATCTCCGAGATATTTTTAATCAAATCAAATATAATTTATATCTACCTATAATCGCGAGCACACAAAACATAATTTTTTTGTTAAATTTAACAGATATTATATGTCCCAAACAGTCCACAGAAATTACGTGCAAAACTTCAAGTAATTTAAAATATATTTTGTGTGAAATTAACATAGTTTTAATGTAAAAATTAATTTAGATTTTATCATCCCCATTTATATTACAAAATAAAAATCAATATTTCTTCTGTAAATTTTAACAGATCAATCTTGTCACTAATAAAACAGAGAACATATTTATAATTATGTAAAATTAAAAAAAAAAAATAGATGCACATTATATTTTTTTCAGTGGTTTTAATAATTTAACATTTAAGTTCAATTAAACACCGCAACAATATGTTAAATTTACATATGAATGTGTTAAATATTTAACACAAAATACGAGGACCGTTTTTAACAAGAAAAGACCAATTTTCCAACTGGGCACAACTTTATAATTATAAGTATTTTTTATATACATTTTTATTTTCAGTTTAATTAAAAGTCTCTATATAATTATAAAACTGTATTTTCAAAATTTATTAACACAACGTATATTAAATCAACATGAATGTGTTAAATATTTAACACAAAAATTTTAACGAGTGCAGCTTTCAAGATCGCGAAAAACGAGCCGTGTAAGATCGCCTTTACAGGAAAGAAGGATGGTACCCCGACTTACGCGGACAGAAGTTCCTCGCACAACCGCGTTACTCCAGAAGGCAGGCTCGACGAGAGATTGAAGAGAGAAGGGTCAGAGACGAAGAGTCGAGCAGAGGGAGAAAAGGCGTCGGTGCGCGACAAAGACGGACGGAAACAAAGCGACAAAGGGAAGAAAAATCCCGAGATATCTGCTGCGAGGCTCATTGGAAAGAATTAAGCGCGGACAACGAATGTTGTCAACGTGTCAGTGCGACGCGCTCGCTATCGTTAACGGGGAAGTAGTTCTAACCGCGACGGACAGCCGACAATTAGGTAAATGGAATATGATAACGACGTCGTCACTCGCCCTCGTCGTATCAACCTCTCCGTCATCTCGATAAGGCCTGTCGTTAAATTAAATGGAACCGTTCGAGGCTGAAACTTAAAACGCGGCGACGATTAACGTTAATTGTAATCAGCTGGATTAGTTATTATTAAGTTATGTAATCTAAGAAATCTACTGCACAGTAGGAAATTTGGATTTTCTTCTTACAATTTTTGTGTTAAATATTTAACACATGCATGTGTTAATTTAACACATTGCTGGTGTCTTAATTGAACTAAAATGTTAAATTAATGAAACACCTGTAAAAATAACATTATTAGTAACAAGATATATATATATATATATATTAAATTTGGGTTTTCTTGTTAAAATTGGTGTTAAATATTTAACACACGCACGTGTTAATGTAACACATTGCTGGTGTCTTAATTGAACTGAAATGTTAAATTATCGAAACAACTGTAAAATTAACATCATTAGTAACAAGATTTATCTGTCAAAATTTACAGAAAATGGGGATGATAAAATCTAAATAAAAATGTTACATTAAAAAACTATGTTAATTTCATACAAAACTGTGTGCAAGAAAAAAAAAGACTTCATTGATCTAAGTTCAATTGCGACGCTGAAGAAATTTAATTCGATCTAATTTTGCGAATTAATTATATAATTAGATTAGAGGAAGATCTTAATTTTATCAAGGATATTCGACGAAACGAAACTTCCAAACTATTACGGAGAACATGTCAATCTGCCTTTGAATTTAAGATCCCACAAAGCTGCTTAGCCTGTCGAAAGATGTAAGTCGGTAAGATGATGTAAGACTTTTAGTTATAAATATATATATATATATATATATATATTTCTGCTATGTTTCGACCCTCTTGACCCTGATACCTTGAAACCCAACTCGGGATCAGAAATATTCAACCGCTAAATGGATGGTCTCTTACAAGTTAGAGAATGACACCTGAAAGTCTTGGGAATTCCAAACATTCCAGGCATTCATTCGAATTAATACCTAAAATGAATACGAAGAGGGAAGCTTCAGGGTTCAAAGGAGAGAAAAAAGGAAATCTCTGAGGCGGCGAAAATTTTATTTCAGTTTCCTACAATAACCGATTAATTTTCGATGTTGCAGAAAAGGTAAAAAATTATAAGTAGTAAAATTTTAAGAATCTATATTTTTTAAATTGAGTATTAAAAAAGTTATATATAATAAATTAGATGAGAAATATATAATATTTATTATGTATACATAAATATTACAAAATTTATTATATATATATATAATAAATACAAAATAAATCACATAATAAATTAGATGAGAAATATTTCGTGGGGATCTCTCGAGACGAAATTAATCAGATGTCAATAAAAGATGATCAGAAACGAGGGAGTAACAGTAGCGCAATCTTAATTACGCCCGACGACGATTATATCGTTAATGGTAGCGCTACGCGATAACAACGATAATAACAAACGCAAGAGGAAAGAGAGATGAACCGGGAAAGACACAGGAGGAAACGTACAAACGTAGCTTTTAAAGAGCTGGAAGGGACCCCCCTTGAGCGCGTATATATACGGATGGGGGGAACAGGTTCCCGGCATGGTTACTGCGTATTCACCGAGCTGAAAACCTTGGGCCCCCATCTGGAGCGAGAGAGAGATGGAGGAAGAAAGAATGAACCGAACAACGAGTGAAGCAGCGAAGGGAGAAGAGACAGGGTATTTGCTCATCTCATCTCGCTCCAGTCGAGATGCTGCGCTAGCTTCTCGCGGACACCCGATACAGGTCGAGAAAGCAAAGGTGAGTTCACACGATGCGTACGTATGTATATGTATATATATATATATAAGGGCCCCAGTCTTGGGTCTACATATATATATATATATATATATATGTAGGACCCAAGACTGGGGCCTTTATATATATATATATATATATATATATATATATGGGCCCAATACTTGGGTCCTACATATATATATATATGGGCCCAATACTTGGGTCCTACATATATATATATATATGGTATATATATATATATATGTAGGACCCAAGACTGGGCCCTTGGTCCTTGAACTCGTCTCGCGACCGCTCGGTCGCGAAAACGGTATCTTTTTATTGGCACGCCGGCCTGCGCATGACTTGACTTTCTGCCAAGAATTTCCGATTAATATCGGTTGCTCCCTTCTCCCGAAAATGTTGAGAAAGAAAAGAGATTCCGTCGAGCTAAAAATCTCGGGAAGAAATGGAGAAATAATTATTGTGTAAGATTTAAAAAAAAAAAAAAGGAACTTGGATGACAGGTGACAATGACAACTGTCAATCTGACTTGAGTATTATTTGACAGATAATCCTATATATAGAGAATTTTCTCTTAGAACTTACCCTGAAAATCATGGTAATCATGATAGGACTATATAATATTGGAAGAATTTTATAAGAGTTTCTCTGTTTAATATTTATCACAATAAAAATATTAATATGTAAATTTTATTATAAATTAATCGAACATATATTTTGCATCTAGATATATATTTTATTGTGATAAAAATATTAATCAGAAAAACTCCTTATACAATTCTTACAATACCATATTTTCAGGGTAAATTCTAAGAGAAAATTCTCTCTGTGTGCAATTATTTTTATATTCTAAAAAATATAAATTTTTTAAATTATGCAATTATACTCTATTACATTTTTCTGACAGAAGTAACGTTGACGAGTTAATTCGCGCTTCGCTGAATTTTTCAGTAGCGAGAGAAACAGAGAGAGAGAAGGAAGCGCAACGGGTCGGATTATTTCGAAGCGGTAGGAAGGGGATGATTATCGGGGAGGGAAGTGCATCTCTCCTTGCACAGTTGCATTTTCCACGATTTATGTTAACGTATATATCGCACTCGCAACAATTTCATCCGCATATAATGCATGCAAATTCTAGTTCCTTTATTTCCATAATAACCATCCAAATCAGCTGTTATCTGTCATGCCGCGCGGACGTCGCATTTTCGACGCAAAAATTAAAAACTCCGCGATTATCATACGATGTAAAACACCGAGTTTACATATTTATACATATCAAGTGTCCAGCAAACTCAATGAAAAAAATTCCTTGACTTTTTCAGATTTTCCAAGATCAGAAATTAATTTTTTCCCTGCCTTTTTAGTATTATTATAGTCAATATATAATAGTCATTAGTCAATATGTAATAGTCATATTATAGTCAATATATAATAGTCAAATTATATATTTTTTCAAATATAAAATTTGCATATATCTATATGATAAATCAATTAAATATTAAATCATGAAATTCTTGAATTCATAGAAAATTAGCGTGTTGGGAGTCAGGGAAAAGTTAAATAAAAAATTTACAATTATTAAGACAAATATGGAATAATGTGAAAAATCCAGATAAATAGTAAAATTTCCTCATTTTTCCCTAACAATCCCAAAATAAAATTCCTTGACAATGCTCCGTTTTCTTGTGAATTTCCGCAAAATTCCATTAGAAAATTCGGACAACGGGTATATTATTTATTAATTTTTTATCCATCATAGATCCAAAAAGGTTGTCATTTACAAGCAGATAGCTCCGAAAAAGATTTATAAAAATTCCCTGACAATCCGCGCGGTTTTCCAGATTTCCTAGACACCCTTTCGTGAATTTCTGCAAAATTCCCTTAGAGAATTCGGTATATTTTTTCTTAATTTTTTAATCCATCATAGATGAAAAAAATCATCATTTACAAGCAGATATAGCTCCGAAAAAGATTTATAAAAATTCCCTGACAATCCGCGCGGTTTTCCAGATTTCCCTAGACACCCTTTCGTGAATTTCTGCAAAAAAATTCCCTTAAAAATTATAATTTTTTCTTAATTTTTTAATCCATCATAGATGAAAAAAATCATGATTTACAAGCAGATATAGCTCCGAAAAAGATTTATAAAAATTCCCTGACAATCCGCGCGGTTTTCCAGATTTCCCTAGACACCCTTTCGTGAATTTCTGCAAAAAAATTCCCTTAAAAAATTATAATTTTTTCTTAATTTTTTAATCCATCATAGATGAAAAAAATCATGATTTACAAGCAGATATAGCTCCGAAAAGATTTATAAAAATTCCCTGACAATCCGCGCGGTTTTCCAGATATCCCTAGACACCCTTTCGTGAATTTGTGCAAAAAAATTCCCTTAGAAAATTATAATTTTTCTTAATTTTTTAATCCATCATGGATAAAAAAAAATGATCAATTACAAGCAGGTAAAAATTTATCCCGACGCGGAAACTCGCCCTACGCACCTGGCAACCATTCTTCCTCTGCCTACCTCTTGCTTCGTCCCCCTTCGCCAGACGGGCAAGAATGGTGGGGCCCGGAGCGAGTCCCTCAGCCTCGTCGCCAGAGTCAGTCGCTCGCCGGGCCCCGTCGACGCTCCACGTGATCGTCGAGGATCGGCGTTTCCACGTTCACGAACGAGAGAAAGGGAAAGAAAGAGAGAGAGAGAAAGAGGGACGCTTCGGGTTTCTGCGTGTGTGTATATGTGTGTCCGTCTCTCTCCCTTGTTTTCCAAATTCTAGTGCGCCCTTGAAGAGGAAAAATCAAAACAAGGGAAGAAAGGAGACAGAAGAAGGTTAAAAAAAAAAAAGGACGACCGCTCGTGACGGAAGCGATCTCTTCCCGCGAGAAGAGAAGACATTCGACCGAATCGACGTCGCTCTTTGCTTTTCGGACGCGAATATTTGGATTCGGGGCCCGAGACCAGAGAACCAGCACGGTGGTGTCTAACTGCGACCATCTACCCTTCGAAGGGCAGGAAATCGACATTGTCTGCGTCAAGAGAAGGTAAAGGTTGCGCCGAGCGACAGGTGGTTCTTGTCCTCTTATTCTGTCCCTCCGTTTGTTCTTTCTCGAAGAAATCGATTTCTCGCGATGAAATAATCGACGGTAAATAATAATAAAGAAAGGCATTTTTGAGGGTCAGCTGACCAGCTTTCCGAAATTTTTGGAATTTTTCTGGTATCACGTGGACGGAGGATGAAAACGGAGCAAAGATGGATGCTCAACTTCAGATCGATACGTACAATCGATATTCGCGTGAACTGAGCAACGAGTTGACGTACTGAATTTTGGTCAGAGTGTTCGTAGACGAAATTTCACGGACTTCTGAAAAGTTCGATCGGATTCCACCTGTTTATTCGTAACGCGAGACCGATTGACAGATGCGGGAATATAAATTCCGACGAATCGGAATTTGTACACAGAAGACAAATTTGTGTTTTCTTGTTAAAAACCGTTAAAATTGTTGGGTTCAATGTTACTGTTCTGTTTTTAATTTTACACAACAAATGTTCTGCTTTATTAGTGCCTTGATTTTTCTGTTAAAATTTGCAGGAAGAAATGTTGATTTTCTATTTTATAATATAAGTGAGGATGATAAAATCTAAATTAATTCTTCCATTAAAATTATGTTAATTTCACACAAAATTCTCCATTTAACATATCTATATCATGTTAAATTAACAGAAAAATTTCTGTAGATCTGGAACACGTCTGTTAAATTGAATACAAATTTTTCACCTGTGTACGTCAAAATTACGTCGATTTTTGTCGAGAAGGATCGAAAAGAAAAAAAATTGCGAGTGACGAATGCAAACAATATCGATCTGCGTCTGTCTTGAAATGTGCAACATCGCCCTTCAATGAACAGTTTCTACAGGCTGAACTCGAGAGAGACAGAAAAAGAGGGAGAGAGAGAGAGAGAAACGTGCATGTTCTTCTCCGCTTAATCGACCTCAATTGGCAAAGCAGCCGGCTTAGGCTAGAAAAGATTGAAGCTGGTCGTTCCAAGCCAGCAACATCGCTCTCTCGCGCAAAGTTTCGAATGAGTAATCCCTCTTTCGTTCTCCAACAAATTCCTGTTTCCTTTGTAATGAAGTGGCAGCACGAAACTCTCGCGTCAAACGCATTGTTTCAACTACATTTGCGAGCTCGTGTTCAATCAACGGCGAAACGCTGCGATTCCGCCGCGTTTTTCCGCATAATTGCGCGTATTAAAAAATAGCTTTTATATACGACATTTGTTGACAAAACACAGGGTTGGGGAAGTTCAGGATTTGTTTAAATGTTAGTTGCCTATAAAAGTAATTTTCGAGTTAAGTTATTTATTAATTTTTTATTTCTTTTTTTTATCTCGTATTATAAAATAAACAGATTTATTTTCAAAGCCTTTCAAAGAGCAAGAATTGCTAAATAAATCTGTTTATTGTATAATACGAACTTAAGTCAATTGTTAAATTTATTTATTAATTTAGGTAAGTTAAAAGTTGCATAAGCAAAAAATTAACTCATTTTTCAAGTTAAGATTAAATTAACTGAAGTTAAATCAAAAGTTAATTTTTAAAAACATTGCTCATATTAAATTAGAATTTCGTTTGTTAATTCTTTTGAAATATATAATAACAAATAAGAAAGAAATTTTGATTTTTATATAGAAATATATTTTTTGGTTCAATTACAATTGATGACAAATAAACATAAAAATTATTAATACTTTAATTTTAAAATAATACGTTTATGACTTATAAAAAGACAATAATGGTATTCAGAAATACATTTTAAATTTAAGCTAAGTTAAAAGTTATCAACTTTTTAACTTTTTTCTTACTTTTAACTAATTAACTATTTATTACCCAACCCTGACAAAACATATATTTTCATATCGTGTTCTTTTTTACACGATGTTCAAATATATATTTTTCTATTTGTCTTATAAATTATTTTCAATGATATCAATTATTTTTCAATACGCGCTATTTAATTTGATATAATAAAAATTATTAGGTTATAAGTTGAGAATTTTATGAAAATATTTATTAACATCGTGCGTGTAAATATTTTTTTTCTTGCAAACAAAGAAAATCTTACCTAAAATTTTCTTGAAACGAAAATCGTTGAGAGAGGACATTGAACTTGGGAATGCAGAACAGATCAGGTTTTGCAGGTCTTGGTTTTGGGAAATTCCAAAGGAAATAGAGTCCCTTCTAGGACTCAGTTTGAAAGTAGAAAAAGGTTCAAAGTTTCAATGGTTGCTTTGATGATGTCAAATGACATCAAAGTCATAGAGAAAAAAACCGTACTTGGACATTGTCGACAATGTCATAAATACAAAAGAATAAAAGATATTTTGAATTGAACAATAATATACGTGCAAAATAGAATGTGAAAATCCAATATAAAATATGTATTTCAAAAATATATTACGAGACACGTAGGAAAAATGTTCTCTTAGAATTTACCCTGAAACTCATAATAATCGTGAGACAATATGATATTGGAAGAATTTTATAAGAGTTTGTTTGATTAAATATTTACCAAAATAAAAATATTAATATATACATAGTAAAATTAATCGAACATATTTTATATCTTGTTGAATAAATATTAATCAGAGAAACTCTTATAAAATTCGATTATCATGATATTCAGCACAGATTTTAAAAGAAAATTCTCTCTGTCCAGAATTTTAATTTCTTATCATTAGAAAATTAATTATACAGAGTGTATCTAAATAAATGCAAAAAAAAATAAGAAATAATTCTTTGTCGAAAATTATAATAGGGGTTTTATTTTTTTCTTCAAATTTCAAACAAATTAAAAAATATATAATTTATATATATATTATATATTATAAATTAAAAAATAAAAAGGAAAATATCCACCAAAATTCATTTTGTAATTTATCTAAAATTTGCGAAAAAACAAAAACTCAATTTTTCTCCTCCTCAAAGAGGGATATATTTATATAAAAAATCCCCTTAATTTTCGCGAAAGAATCATCTCGCAAAATTTTTCGCACTTATTTAGATACACTCTGTATATAAGCGACAATATTTCATAAATCAACATCCACCTATCAACTTTCATGTCTCTACGCAATATTTCGTATCTCTAGTTCCATGTTTTATCACGCGTCAAAAGATGTGTCACGCTTCGTGAATCACGAGAGGTACATACATATACATTCGCGATTATTCTTCTTTAAAAAAAAAAAAAAATTTTTTTAATTTTTTACGACAGCTCAACGATTCTGGTGCCGCAGATACGAGCGTTTTCCGGGCGACGATAAGCCTGATAAAATAAGAAGGGGACCTTGCAGACCTAGAAGGGGTCCAGATACAACGCGCAGCGTTATCTCGCCGCCTCCGCTTATTTTTTTTTTATTTTTTTTTATGCAGAAAACGACGTTAGAATATCATCCGCCTATCTACGCGTTAGACGCGAGCGTGCAAATACCGTAAAGAAGTGGGCGTTCCACGGAGAGCGGAATAGTAGCTTTCGAGAGTCCAGGAAAACCGGTATCACACATTAGGGGTTCGACTTCTCGCGCGAGATCCAACGATCGTATCGTTATATAACGAAACGATCGCCTAGTAATAACAAAATATTGAATAGAGCGAAAGCTGATCCTTCCTCGAACGAGATTCGGACAATTATATCGGTGATGGTGACATTTTAATGAACGCTATGTGAAAGGTTTGTAGCTTCAACTGGAATAATTAATGCGGAATTAATGTTATGTAATATTATTTATATAATGTATACGAGCGGGAGAGCAGAAAATTAAATTGCCAGAACGCGCTAAACGATGTTGGTACAACTGGTCGTGAGAAAACAATGGTCTTGCATCTTTCAACACTTGCACATGTGGTTGAGAAACCGCTTCTATTGGCGATTTCTCGGCATCTGCGGTCTAAAGATTACCTCTATAATCGATTTCTCAACAGCCGTCACTTCCAAGGCCCTTGAAAGAACGTGATTATTAAGAATGAACCATTCTTTTTCTGCGTCGCGAATCAGGATGAATATATTGTCTCGCAATTTCCTTTATTGACTCTATTAATAATTCGTCGCGAGTTCATTAATCATATTTTTTTGTCCAAACAATACGCACAAAAATACGTTAAAATTCACGGATAAAATTTATTTATGAAGAAATTAATTATTAAAAAATTATTTATTAAATTAATTATTTTAAAAAAATTATTTATTAAATTAATTATTAAAAAAAATTAATTATTAAAAAATGATGAGAAAAGAGACAAAATAAATTCAATTGGAAAAGCTATTAAATTAAGATACTGAATCTATTAAAATATTGCATGACGCTGTAATTAGGTTGCATTAAGTAGTCGGGATAAATAATATCTATTTGTCACATATAGATACGGTATAAGTTATAAACGAGATAACATTTTAACGACTGTCAACACGGTCGTGTACTCGTCTCGTCATCATTATTATATCGCTGTCATCTCACTTCCCACGATCTCGCGATGAGCGAGGAGGACTATTAACATCCTCCTTCTTGAGATATCATCTTCATTCATTTTTCCTATTTTTTTTAACTGTGTGTCTATCGAGCGTGTCGTAAAAACGCGTAAATTATACGAATACTAGCGATAACATCTACCGATGTAGCTGCAGAATAATATTCGTATCCAGCAGCTTCTCGAGAGCATGTTTCAGTATGCGTTATTATATCCGTACAAAACATTTTTCTCATTAATAATTAATCATTTCGCGTGAAAATGTTATAGGAGCGGAAAATTGATGAAATAATTTAAAAATTAATTTTGATGAGAAAAATTATTGTTAAAGTGAAATAAAAGAAGATGATTTTAATAAGGAATAATTATTGTGTTGCATACACGGAGAGAATTTTCTCTTAGAGTTTATCCGGAAAATCATGGTAATAACGGTATTAAAAAAAATTATAAGAGTTTATCTGATTAATATTTACCGCAATAAATATATGAATATCTAACACAATAGATATAAAATAT